GCATGCCTGCTTAAAGTCTGGAATTCATTGATAAGGTGAACATGCAATGGTCCCCAGGTTCAGGCTCAAGATCAGCCTCTGATCTGGCATGCCCTCAGGTAAGAATTACATAGGCTGACGATGAGAACAAGCCTGTATGAGCCCAGGGTTGGTGAGGATCAGTTATTCAGGCCTGGGATAGGCTTGCTTTCACCGTTGACTTGAGCTTCAAATGAGGATGATTAAAGGGGCCATTGGCTTATTCAGGGCTTATTCAGGGCTCAGCAAGGCCTCGAAAATTAAAGTTACTTCCGATTAATTTCCTCAATTTGTATATCAATACTCATCAGCTAATGGTGGTGAAAACATTATCATCATCTACAAACATAGCTATAATTTTCCGCCAAATTATCTAAGCTAACCCCAGGCCAGGCCTAGAGCAGCTCTTTGTGCACGTGGCTATATGATTATTATTATCCTTATCTATAATTAATTAATCAATCGATTCTGTACTCATAAATCCATCGGACCCATCATTCATTCAAGTTTAAGAAGTTTAATTAGGATATCAACAAAATAACAAAATAACACTAACACAAGTTGAATTTTTATACCCGAAAAAAATGTATCATCCTAAGAAGTCGCAGGTAGTCCAGTGGATAGCATGCTTGTCTACGGATCAGAAGGACCTCGGATCGAACCCCAGCAGAGGAGCAAATTTTTAAACGTTTGATTCCATTGTATTTCAATTTCCAGGTGCGCGGTATAATCCAGGCCGAATTATTAATAGAAACTAATGATGATAATAATTTTTTGCCCATCCATTGTTAATTAAGCAACAATCACAATCACCAAAAACGCTTAGCAACAGTGATGTACGGTCCGACCGCACTCTCTTTCATAGGTTACTCTAAATTCATAAAAAGGTTTATGAAGCAATAAGAAATTGTTTATACAAATATCGGTAAACAATACTCCAGTTTATTTAGCCGAAGTTCGATTGAGTCTTTCAAATTTGGTAATTCACGGCTTGAATCAAGCCTTGGCACTGAGCCTCGTTCAAGCCTTGCAGACTAAGCCTGAAATGAGGTTATCATTTTAGGGCTGAAGGAGCATTTCCGTGCCTTGGTTCAGGGCTTGATGAGCCCTGTTTCTATCGTCAATTCTTACCTGGGCCGTAATCAGGTATACCGTATCGATACCGGAGCAGGGCCTTCTCTGCCAAAAGGTCTGCCTGACGAAATTTCTACTCGGGTATATCAATCCTTTTCAAGGAGGCGGCAAGGTGGTAATGATTGACTTTAACGTGTTTAACAATAACGATAGCCTCTCTCGGATGTTTGCAGTTTTCGTACCAGGGTTTTGCCGACTCCTTGAAGTAGAGTTCAAAATATTGTACTCCTTTTTTTTCTTTTTCCTGTCAGTTTTTGAAGCTGCTACTATCTTATTTGTTGTGTGATTACGCTCATCGGTTTTAAAACTACTCCGGAAATCCGTATAAGGAACTCTGAATTGATCTGATGAGTCCTCTGTCGCACTCCCAGCCAACTTGTCAACCTCTTCGTTGCCCTCAATGCCGCAATGGGAGGGGATCCACATAATTGTAATTTTGGTAGGTGGGATGCTATGTTGCGTTATTCTGGCTATTTTTTCTCTTATTTAAATAATGTAGGGGTTTGCTTTAATTAGGTGTTTGACTTAATTTTTACAGATTTTTCAGTAAATTTATTTAATAAAAAACAATTGAGAACAACGAACTTAATCTTGGAAATATTGACCATCGTTTTCTATGACCTTTCGCCATCTCTCAGGTAACATTCGAATGCCGTCGCGACAGAAACTTGCAGGCTTCGAGGCGATAAAGTTATCGACGAATTTACGCATATCGTCCAGCGTTTTAAACTGTTTATCCACTAAGGCGTGCTGCATGGACCGAAACAAGTGATAGTCGGATGAGGCCAAGTCTGGTGAATATGCCGCGTGCGGGAGAACTACCCATCCCAAGTTTAAGAGGATCTTCTGAGTCGCGCGAGTAACGTGAGGTCGAGCATTGTCATACAGCAGTATGTAAGGAGGGGAATTCAACTTGGGATGAGGTAATTGTGAAAGGGAGATCTGGTTCGTCGAAATCTGTTTATTGTTCCATGGACAGTTCGTCGTCGTTGAGCATCGGAACTAGGGAGGGGGGGTTTTGGGTGTTTGCTCGGGGATTTTTCGTTGGGTATTGTTTGGAATAGTGTCCAATCTTGTTGCAATTAAAGCATGCTGGACTCTCAGTCGATGGATAAGCGGTGTAGTCAAAGTTATTCCAATTGATTCTGATAACCTTCGATAGTTTTTTCTCATCTTCAGGGCTAATGTACACTTGCCTCCTGAAGCTCTTGAGATGTCCATATCCCGGAGTTTCCGATCCGGCCGCAATAAACGTTATTGGTGAGACTGTCTTTACTCCCCTTTCCTCCAGTTCCTTTTCTAGGATGTGCGGAAGCGATGGGTAAACATGGGAGAGGATAATTCGTTTGGATTTGAGAACTAGCGATCTGATTTTCAACTGGATTCCATTAATCGATAGGTCTGTTTGTGATGATGTAAGCCTGTCAACAGTAGCACTTGAGTCCACGTATATACAAACACGGTTTCCTACGGTACGTGAAATACCAAAAACATTTTGAGGACCGATATATTCTCCAATGCACATCATGTAATCCTTGATCGGTACATCCTGGATTGCATCAATTAGGATGGCTCGATCATTGTCGGGGTGGAAATCACTTGCCAACCGCTGGGAGTACGATCCAGCCTGACCTCTAATGTCTCTGCTTCTACCAGGCTCATTGAGGGACGATGATTGGTCCTCCTTGGAGGTCATCTTCGCAGTTCAGCTTAGGCGGGGGACAGACTATTTCTCCTCTCCTCCTGTCAGCTGCAAGTCTTCCAAGTTGTTCGATATCTATGGACAGTGCATCACACTTATTTCAACTGTGATAACAATACTTCAACCGTATCCACGAACTAATCACGGAGAGCGACCGAACGTATACACTTATACACGTCTTACTCGGTCGGCGGGCATAGACCGAATCCTCTCAGAAACGTTTGATATCACTTTATGAATCACTACTTCTCATAGACGTCTAATCCAATCGTAGAAAATAATTCAACATATAATTATTATTACAAATATACTTATCTTGATCTGAATTCACTTCATTCCAGACCGCTGTCACATATCTTAAACCTATGCAATTAATAGTTATCAAATCAATCCATTTAATACATTTAAAAGAAAATACTAGCGAACTCGTACAATAAAATTGACGTCAATACATAATGAGATTACAACGGCGACAGGTAGCGATCGATGTATCCCCAATTATCACTCTCCCCATCCCTCTAATACTTTCGAAAACTCTCATTTCTTCTCTATTTCATGTAGATAATTCGTCGATTTACCACACTATAGAAAAGAATGTCAGAAGCCCTTTTTTTGTAGAGAATTTTATCATTTGCAAACAAAAGATTCACCGACTTTTATCTTAAATCTCCTTTTCTCGAAGATATTCATAATTTCGATAATTTTTACATTTCCCTTCCCCGTTAGACTGGCGCAATGAGTAAATTCGCTGTCTCACATGTTCGACATCCTGAGTTCAAAAGTCGGGCGGGTAGAATGATGAGATCTAAACATTTAAAGCCTTTACATATATTTTCCTTCTTGGATCATGTTGCAAATGCTCTTGATAAAAAATGAAAAATATTGTTTCAATTTCAATTTTTCAACTGTTCAAAATTTTTAAAAATTCCGTTCAAATTTAATTTTTTCACAATGAAAATTTTAGAATTTACGTTTAACAATTCTTTCCCACTTGTGTTTTCTTTTAAATTTGTTACACAATTCTCAACTCATGGTTTATTTTATGAATTTGTTCAAAACCATTTGGATTCTTCACTTCATAATTTCCATTTTTTAATCTCTGAATTGAAAAAAATACTTGAAAACAAATCTTCTGATTTCTGAACGAAAAAAACGAAAACCCAATTTCAACACGTTTTAGTCGATTTTTATTCGTTAGAAAATTATGTCGAGGGTGCAGGTTACCGCCAAGGCCACGAGAACAAACAAATAAAAAAAGAGAAAAATCCTGAAAAGATGAGGGAGACCCGACCACCTACTTCGACAACACAATGGAGTACAAATGCGTGGCGACAGGAACGGCCAGATATACGGCAGGCTGATTGCTCGTTGTCGTGGTGCCTCAGGACACCTTTTGAAAGTGCTATCTCATCAGCCCCCTTTTCGTCATTAGATGAATTCCGAATTTTAAAAAATTAAGAGAACGACATTCAATAAAATACCACCAGTAATTTCAATTTTCATATACAATTTTATATTTCTTCATTTACGAACTTATTCATACACGCACCTTAAGTCTACTTCGTGAGTATTAATTTTTTTTAATTAAGAAAATTTATGTACAATTAATTAATCGGGGTGTGCCAATTAAATTACTACATCACAATGGTCCTAATTTCGATACGTCCAGTCGTTTTCTACAAGTATTTACAGCAATCATCAAGTAGTGAAGCAGTAAAGAAAATGGACTTTTATATTCTCCCCTAAACTTTTTCCATATCACAATACAATTTTACATTCTTGATCTCTACTACTTGTTATTAACCAGTTAATTATTTGTTCATCATTAGTTAATTGAACAACTTCATCTAATCAAGCGATTGACGGACCTATTCCCACCCATGAATAATCGAGAGGAATAAAAATCACTGGAAATTATAAAATTTGTCCCTGAACAAAAAAAAATACTTTGGAAAAACTAAAAAGCCGATTCTCATTCTCTGAAAATTGCGATATAAATGCAAAAGTGAAAGGCACATGACGGCTATTCTACTCTCGACGGGCTAACGCCCCCCGTTGAACGATAAATCGACTCATTGATAAATAACTGCGTCTATTGAAGCTCAATTATCGTATAAAAGGTAAAAACCGATGAATCAGGGATTTTTCAATGGACTCTACCGCAGACTTGCGAGTCGAGCGCACCCAGGTATGGATAGCCACTCTTCGCCTCGGTGGGACTGTGAGGTGTCACGTGATGGCCCATTCCTGTTGCTCCCTGGACCATACAGGCACTCATGTTTGTGGAGCTTGTCGGTGAGACACTTCCACTCAAACCCAAGTTTAAGTTCGAGGGGGAGAGATTTGTGGTTCCGTAGTGGGCACTATTGAATAATCTGCAACATAAAAAAAGCCTTATTACTTCAAATGCTTTCAATGAAAATTCTGGAAAATCATTTTGAATACAATTTCTTCAACTATCATAAAATTTTGAAGAATAACATTTCGTGTTTTTTATTCATTTTTTTTAATTACTCGGCGAATAATGCGGTAAAATAGATCTCACATTGGTCGAATTATCAAAAATTCCTCATTAGTTCAAATTTCTCATATAACAAAAACTCCGTTCATTTGTTATTTTTCAATGATTTAAAATTGTTAAAGTTTAGGGTTCTCATTTTTCTTCCATAAAAAATAAATAAAATCCAACATTTCAGCCATTCTATTCTCATCCTTTTTATTTATACTGAAAAAACTTTAAATTAAAAAATTGAAAAATCGGTTTAAATTAATTTCTCTGTCAAAAAATTTGAATCCTCGCGTTATTTTATTTTATTTAAAAAGTAGAGAAAGAAAAACATTCAGTGTTTTTCATTGCTAATTTTCGAATTACAATAATCGAATAATCGAACGAAATAGTTCGTTGTATTGAGTGAACTTTTCTGCGTTTAATTTTTTCCAAAAAATCAAAAATACAAAAAAAAAAAGAAATTAAAAAAAAAGTTTTTCGTTCTGAATAAAGTTTTGTCCATATAGAATGCACCATTGGGGAATTGTGGATGCTCATTCACTAGAACAAAAAAAGAAATTGAGAGAAATAAACCCGAGAAAAATCAATGAAATGCATTTCTGTTAATTTAAAGCGTAACGTGTTTGTTTGTGCAATGCGATACGACTCGCAGTGGATTTTTTAAACCGTGACGGAAGGCCTTTCCACGGTGGCGAGCGACACACTTTGATTCGCATTAAAGGCTTTTAAATACACGTCATAACCGTTTGAAATTTTATTTAAATTCACGATCTTCAAGCTTTGCTTTTAAACACTCACTTATTTGACTTTTTTCCGCTCAATCTCTTGACTAAAGTGAGTCGTTCCATGATTCATTCCTCTATTTCATCGGTTCAAAATGAAAAAATTTCATTGTTCATAATTTTTTCAATAAAAATTTAACCAATTTTGAAAACGGAATAATCGAATTTTGAAAACGTGCGGTTAAAAATAATTTCAATTGAGGGCCAGGAAAATTTTAACTGAACAACTCACTATAACGATCCATTTTGATACATCAATTTGAATCAACCATCAAAAATTTCCTACATATATCTCTGAACTTATGGGGGTAAAATCGGTGATCAAATTATGTTTGGAAACACGAATTGCTGTAGTAATCCAATAAGCCTGTTTTCATCCCTGTATCATGAATTTTTTATTTTCTACAAATACGGATTGAATTACTGAAGATGAAACACTGATGGAACTATGCAGTTGCTGTCAAGGAGGCTTTTAACTATTATTTCGTTAATAGTTAACAAATGGTATTAACAGTTAACCCTAGTCTGGTCACCAAACACGACCCTGCGACTTTGGTCACCTCAGCTGCGATTCGCCGCCACGTTATTTATTAAGCGTTGCCAAATTTACTCCACACTGTTCGGGCGCGTTTAGCGAGTTTCCGCCACCGTCGCGTTGTGGGCAATTTCATTTAAAGAACTTCCGCAGTAAGTATACTTGGTGAAAATTTCGAAATGGTATAAAGACGCAATATTTGGATCATATGTTGTTGAGCACATTCAAAAACTATTCCCGAAATTTCAAGTACCTTGTCCACCCCATTTTCGAGGTATACATCGTCAAAAATGGAAAAAACACAAAAATTGAATGTTTGGCGATACATATCTCAAAAATGGGGTGGACCAGGGACTTGAAATTTTGGGAATATCTTTTTAATATGGTCAACAACATATGATCCAAATATTGCGTCTTTATACCATTTCGAAATTTTCACCAAGTATACTTACTCCGGAAGTACCTTAACATGGGAAAAAATAATTCACCTGTTCGAAATAATTTGTTTCCTTTCTGAATTTTGGGAAAGTATGTTGTTCTAAAAGCTACTACAATTTTTTTGCTACTACAATTGTTCCGGTTAGTCAGTCAATTGTAATTAAAGAAAAACGACGTGCGGCGGTATTTCGCTCATAGGGTGACGAATCTAGGGTTAAGAAGTCTCGTTAACGGCAACTAATAAATCCAAAAGCCTTTCACCGTTTCTATCAGGGAATATAGACCATTTTTCATTCCTGACCATTAAGAAAACCCTGAAGAGTGGATTTTGCATCTCAATTCATGTATAAAACTTGAAATAATTTCATCCCAGGAATTTGAAGTCGGAAGAGCTCCACTTGATTATTAGCCAGTAGCGTTTCATTACGGTACGATGAGGAACATAATTGCGGACCACACGGGTGCCGCACACTTGGCCTCATCCTCCCGGCCTGGCACATAATATGTCTACACACATGAGCGATACTGATCATCCGAGTGGAGAAAAAAAAAGAGAAAGAATGGTTTTCTCTAAACTCTGAACCGCCACCCAACTTGAAGGGATTAGTGTGTGCGTAAACCCTTCAATCTCATCCCTTTCATTTCATGGTTTCCTTTTGGATTTTTCCGATGATTCCTCTTCATATTCGTCAATTTTTCCCCAATTTTACAACGAAATATTTGACTCTAAAGGTGGATCCTTCACACGAGATGGTGACTTTTCAGAATAATTTATCGTTAAGTTACGAGATTAGCATACCATTATTATTTTTTTTTATTGGTTATTATTTTATTTAAGAATTTCAAGCCTTATCTGTCATTATTGAATAGCCTAACCGAAAAGCTACTGACCATATACCCTAATAGAAATTTGTCTCGGTCAGGCGAGGTACACGGAGAGAAATTTTTGGTAAAAATTATAGTGAAATCGAGGTAAAAATTACCCGAATGGAAGGGTAATTCTGTAGCAGTTTATTTTTGGAGTAATAAATATGCTTACTGTGGATAAATTTTAATGAACATTTCCGGATAATATTTATTCTTATCTCAGTAAAAATTGCCAGTATGCACGGATAAAAATTATTACATATCTTGGTAGTTTTTACGAATATCTGTATAAAAATTACTGTTCCAGAATGGTAAAAAATACTAACCTTACCTACAGATCTCTTCCACGCACCATGCAGGTTCGGACTGAGGTTTAATGACGGAGAGGGGGTAGCCTGGCTGAATCTGCCTCTTTCTTGCACGCATTGCATTAGAGAGAGAGGCGCAGAGAAAAAAATTATTTACAAATTTACAAACTCCCCCCTCCCCCCACCCGTAGTCGTTTAGCGCGGCGGTGAGTTTTTCAAGGATATCTCCAAAACTAAGGGAGGTAGCGAATTTTCCTTGAAAAATTTGGGGGGGAAGGGGGCATTGTTTACCGAGAATTCTCGATATACCACCCCCCCCCCCCCCCCCCCCCCCCNACCCCCCAATTTTTCCCTTAGTTTCGGAGATATCCTTGGTTGTACATCTACTGGTAGAATTTATTGTTTGGAAGGGTAAAAAGTTTCGCGCGCATCTGGTTAGTTTTTGATGCGCACATGGGTATAATTTAATAAAATTGGGTGAATAAAAATTATTATATGAATTTTATAGTATTTACCAGGATAACTATAATTTTTATCATTCACACAGATATTTTTTGTCTTTGTCTATATACATTTCGACAAATGTATAGACAATTTTTGGTCCCTTCGGCGAAAATTACCATATGGAAGGGTAAAATTTATTTATGTCATGCGTGCGTGTAAAGTGCAGGTTAACAGGGGCGTTTGGAGGTCGGTAAGTCGAATTTTACACGCACCACCAATCGTTCTTCACTTAACAGACGTTCCCAGTTTTACACGCGTCCTATGCTATTTTACTGGTATGTTACACGTTCTCAATAACCCCTAGCGACATCTTGCGGTACAAACATAACCCATTATCCCAACCATACACCGATCAGCTGATCCATTAGACACTATTTAACGAAACAAATCGTAGTGCAAAAAGCTAAAAAATAAACTACATAATAATAAATAATTAACTCAAAAAGTGAAATATGAATACACAAGAAGATATGTTTAGTGAACACGATGAAATACTAACAGATAATATACTTCGAAACGCTCAGGAAGCAGAGAAATGCTATCAAGAAAAAGCCAACTTTGAAAGAAAAAAGAAAATGAGTATTTTTTCTAAATATTAGAGAATAATTTTTTTTGCGCGATTTTTCTTCACCCCCCCACCCTGAAGAAAATATGAGGAAAGTTTGTTGATTTTTCATTATTTTTTTATTAGTATGAAGAATTAATAAACATATATTATTATTATTATTATCATTACTCATCTTTTTTTGTCAGATAGATTGAAATATTTGAACAATTATTAAAAGTAAGAGATACATTTGACAGGGGATTTTTGAGGAGGTTCATTACATTCAAGTTCTCTTTGTTGTTGATATTGGAATTTGTTGAAGTTGATGAGTCTTCATTAGTTCTTTTATTTTGATCATTGTTGAGTTTGCAGTTTGTGACGGTTGTGGGGTGGTGATGAGATACTTTTTGATTTTTTATATTGTTGAGATTATGTTTATTAATTCTTCATACTAATAAAAAAATAATGAAAAATCAACAAACTTTCCTCATATTTTCTTCAGGGTGNGTTCATTACATTCAAGTTCTCTTTGTTGTTGATATTGGAATTTGTTGAAGTTGATGAGTCTTCATTAGTTCTTTTATTTTGATCATTGTTGAGTTTGGAGTTTGTGACGGTTGTGGGGTAGTGATGAGATACTTTTTGATTTTTTATATTGTTGAGATTATGTTTATTAATTCTTCATAATAATAAAAAAATAACGAAAAATCAACAAACATTCCTCATATTTTCTTCAGGGTGGGGGGGGGG